GGCTACAACCTGAGCTCAGTAGCCACCTGGTCGCTTGCATGTCTTCACTGTACAGGGAATAGGATCACAAGCTATGCATCAGTGCCAAAAATGGAAGTTATGCAGCTGGATAATTGCCATTTGGAAATGTAAAGAGAAATCAGATTCTAGTGTATTGACTCCATGTTTGTTGTTCTTCATGGCACGGTACAGCTTAGGACGCATTGCTGAGAATATTTAAAGAGTTGTGTAACTAGGGCAAGGGGGGACACCCAACCTGGGCACCAAATACAAAGTCTTTGCTGTGGCCCGGGAAGCCCTGTGCTGCCCTTGCCCAGCCACAGGAACCGGGCAGTGCAGCGCCACACCAATCAGTGTATCCAGGGGGCAAGAAGAATAGTGCTCCCTCTCCCAGGAGCATTTGCAGTAGTAGGGGAAGCTGCCTCTTCCTGGCCACAGGAGCCAGGCAGCACAATACCACACCAAGCAATGTATCTGGGGAAACTGGGGGTGAGTGGGGCAAGCAGAATAGTGCTCCCCCTTCCCCTGGGAGCCTTTTCCAGAGCAGGCACAGCCGTGCTCCCAAATTGTATGTACCGGGGAAAGGAAGTGAACAGGGCACCAGGATCCGCTCCACAGGGCTGCTGCTGAAGCTGATGCTATTGATACTGAGCAGCAGCTTGGGCAGGTAAGACTTCTCATCCCCTCTGCTGTGCCACCCTCCCCTCTCCTGCTCTACTGTGGTCAGCATACCCTCACCCCTCCCCTCTGCTCCAGGTGCTCAAGGAACTCACGATGCCTCTGTACTCAAATACTGGTTTGTACGAGTATTACTTTCATCCTTGTCCCAGTTGAGTTGTCATCTTTCCTGGTGTGAAATCTGCACTCCTTTATGACATGGCGATGAGCCTGTTTATATTATCTGATTTTGAAGACTAATAAACCTACAAGGAATCTAGAATGCTCTTGGGTATGTTACTGCTTAGTCACTGGGTCACAAGTTCAATGGCATACTAGAATATTGTAGAGAGGTTGTTAGCCATGTTAGCCTGAAGTCGGGCAGAAGGCAGGGTAAATTTGCACTTGATAGACTAAAATCAGAATACTATAAACACCTTTTACAAACATCATTGGTTCAGTGAGACAGCCGGGTATTGTTCTTCTCTGAACCAGAATACAGGAAGAGCCGGGGAGCAAAATGCACTTGAAATACAATTGCAGGATTTCTGCATTGCCACAGCATGGCTGTAAATAAAACAAGGCGAATTTTCTACTCAGCAAAAGTATCTTTGCAACTACAGTCAGCAGAACTGACACTGTCTGATTAAAGAGGTTACTGGCTCTTAGTAACAGAGCCAAGTGCTTCTCCCTGTGGGGGACTGCAAGTTGGTCTTTCGAGAACAATATTAGGATGCAGATCAGCCTGACCACTTCTGTTGCAACTGCACAAACATAGGAGCATAGAAATGCATTATCCATAACAGCCAATTTTTCACCTATTTTCAGTGACTGGGGGCTAAGGCTTGCTTAGCGAGCTGTAGCTGAGTACCTGTAAGGTGCTCATGTACTTTGTGACTCACTGAGGCCAACAGGGAGAATCTAGGCACACTGTGGATCATGACTGTCATCTCCTCAGAGCAGAGCGCAAGAAGCAAAGATGTGTTTGAGAGGCTCCTCAAACTGACATTTAAAATCCTGCCACCAATGCAAAGGAAAGGTAGGCACAATTCCCCTACCTAACTCTCTGACTACCATGAGGGATGACTTTCTTTTGGGGTTCACAAAAATATTTTTGAGGAGAAATTATTCTTTGCCTTTGGCATGGATCAGCTTGCGATCAGTGACTGATAGATTTTCACGTAAAACAGTGATGGGGCCAGATAAACCCCTTAGGGGGATATTTCTAGAACAGCTTTCCCATGGCAAGAAAGCCACAGAGGCCCTCATTCTCCATTTCCAGTGATGCAAGTTAAAGACTGATAAGATACTAATATGTATAAATCATAGTTTTCAGAAATAAATTACAAGCATTTCCAACAAATACACTTAATATGTGCTTGTTTGCCAACTGGCATTAGGAGAACAAAAAATTCTCTCTCTCCATTCCACCATATATATGCGCTTTTGTGTTTCTGACAAATCTATGCTGGGAAGTTTTGCTGGTGAACTTTCTGAGGTTTACTTCTCCATAGAGAACAGTGCGAGCAGAAATGAATTTATTGTTTTGCTGATAATACTCAACTTTACTTCTTTTACTCAAATCAAGAGTCTCCATTATCACTGCTTCCTCTACACCTGACTGAGAAAGAGTCATGTATTATTACTGAGCTTTGAATATGTAAGTAATAGGTGGACAGAAATGAAACAGACAGCTCAGCATTATCGTACATGAAGTATATCTATCTAGATATATATCTATCTATATATAATTTAAAGACTGTTACATGCATACATTCATTATAAAACAGAACACATTTTTTGTATATTGAATGTAACTAAGTATAACACAAACAAATACAGTAATATAGAGGACCAGAAATTATTTGAAAGCCCATGTGTTAATTTCTATTTCACTTTGCTCTTTAAACTGATTATGTAAATACTTTCAAAACCATGAACACTGTGTGCCAGTTCAGTATTCTCATATTTAGGTTTCTTCATTTTTATAAACACAGTTTTTTATAAAGCAGATATTTTAAAATATGGCCTTAAATCACAGGATCATAATTTGTTATGATCTGAATTTATGGGGTAATTGTATTTAACAAAAATTACCATGCAAGGTAAAAATGTATAAAAGTTATTGCATTGTACAGTACCATATCTTCCTACTGTATTTTGTTTCTTATCTTTCTGTTCTACTTATAGTATAAAAGTCAAGGCTCAAACTGAGGGGGAAGATCATAGTAATAACAACACTTAACACATAAATAGTTAATTTTCATCTTCAGAGAAGGGCAAACATGACTTTACCCTCACACCATCACTGTGAGGTAGGTAAGTAAGAAGCATTCAATCTATTTTTACAGAAAGGGAATGGAGGCTAAAAAAAAAAAAAACACTAAGAGAATTGGGATTAGAGCTGGTAGCTCCCAAGAGTGCACTTAGGCCTGTAGACAAACACTTCCTGTCTCTATGCCTTCTATTAGTGCAAAGTAATAAGTTTGATGTATGTGGGACAAAGGCAGACAAGAAGGACACTTTCACATGAACCCATGTAGCAAAGCAGTACAAGAAAAAAAGCCTCATACTATTTCCCCCACCCAGGAATCCTCTAATGCAGTTTCTCCAAAACATTTTCTATATCTGTGTTTATGGCATCAATGTTGAATGCTTTAAATTATACAGCTATTTTACCAATATGAAATTTTCTTCCCTCAGAGACTGTTTAATTTTTTAGCTTTGAATAAAGTTACCTGTAAACCAGTATTTATCAGTTCAACTTCCTGTTTATATTCATTTGGACAATTGCTGCTGTTATCCAAGTCTGCCAAAGATTAAGGCACATAGCAAGTTTTTGTATTTCAGAGTTTGGTCCTGGTGTAATAGTGTTACAATACATTTAGGTTATCTGCTTATGTGTTTCAAAATACATTTGTTTGGAAAAAAAAAAAAAAAAAAATGCAGCCCTTGTGAAACTGATGCTCCTAAAAAACAATCAAGGAATCAGGAGATGAGATGAACAGCTACCACTTTGCTAGGGCAAAAGAACTCCATCCCCCAAAAAACCAAAACAAAAAAACAAAAACAAAAAAAAAAAACCAAACATTTACAGAAAGCAAACTTTAAAACTCAAAAGTCCATGACCTGAGTCTGCCTATTCCTATTCATGTGAGTAATTTCTTACTCCAGAAGCAGTTTCCTTGTTTCCAATGGAATTAAGAGATTTTGGTGTTTACTGCCCCATGAATGATTCCACTTCAGTGGGAGTTAGAGGCCTAACTAGTTTGAGAATCAGAGCCTAACTGCACCATAAGGTACTATCCAACATGAATAAGAGTAACGGAATATGGCCCTCTAGTGTTGTATGATTATGATTTCCACGAGAAAATTCTATAGCTACACTTCTGTTGTGACTGGTTAATAATGCTGTGCAGCTTACTAAACAAACAGTGCCATTGCAAGAATAATGATAGTAACACTTGGATAAGAATTCAGCTGTCCTGCCTTATACAGACACTACAGTTCAATAGGGGCTGATCTTTTCCCTATTCAATGGTATTTGAAAAAAGTTATTTAATTCCAGAGATACAATTCTTGACTTACACTGCAGTGCCTAAAATTGTACCAGGACCTCAAAAAACACCAAAAACCCCCCAAACCTACTGTCATGCCACAGAAACCTCAGTGCTTTTTCTTGAGAAGAGACGAAAGAAAGGCTTTTAGGTTAGGGATAGAAATTACACATAAACTGGTATAAGTGATTGGAAACCAGTTCAAAACTGTAACACACCAGAAGTTCAGTGCACATAAACTACTTTCAAAATGGCCGAAACTGGTTTAAGATGAACCTGGATGGATGTAGTATCACTTACCTGATTTAGGTTAAATCAGTTTGTTAATTTCTATCCCAGATCCCCTCCAGATTCAAAATAACTTAGTCTCCCAGCATCCCAGGATGTTTTATACCTTCCCTGCAAACCCCACAAATGCCCCGCTGCAGGGTGGATGAGCTAGCCTTGACCCTCTACTCCTGCCAAGAAAGGAGGCAAGCTCTAGCAACCCTTGGCTTCTGGCTTGGGCCTCTGAAGCCATGTGGTTGTATTTCCAGAATGAAAAGTGAATGTCTGTTCACCTGCTTATCAGTTCTATCTATGCAGCTTAGACTAACCTGTGAAGACTGAATTGATTCAATCTCAGGCTTTTTGACTATCCGTACTTAGCCTTAGTGAGTTGGACTGCTGACCTAGCCATAAAACAAGATTCCTCTTGCAATGGAAGTGAGGTAGATCACTCACTACTGATGGAGCATTATTCCTATAGGGCAACAAGCCGCTGCAACTTGCTAAGATGTAATGAAATCCTACTGTTATGTAAAAACAGATCTAGCCCTTCTGGAAGAGTCCTTTAGGGTAGAAGAAAGGATCAGGAAATTCAAGTTTTTTTGGAAAGAGGGGGAAAGGGGAAGACAAAACAAGATATGCACAGCTTCATCCCAGTCTGATGCTGCTGTTGCTTCCAACCCTGCAGGAATCCTCTATAAAAATTGTGTTACAGTAATTTGGGACATAAAAGCATAGCTGGGTAGAAGAGAAACAGAATTTTAGGAAAAAAAAAACAAAAAAACAAACAAAAAAAAAAAAAATATTCCTCCTGCAGCATTCCCTTTATGCATATCCACGGGAATCTCATTCCGTTCTGTTCTGTGAAATTCTCTTGTGGTGGATGTTGGGATTAGCCAAGCCACAGCCTCATTGCTTCTCCAAACTATGCCCAGCTGTCTATGGCCTCCAAAGGGCATTCACTCAACAGTGGTTGCTAGAGTACAGTGGCACTCTGGTCATGCTGCTTCCATCTGGCAATTCTTCTGACTGCTCTCTGCACTAGGATCAAGAAGTGGTATGGCAGGGGCAGGTTTCACTAACTCAATGCTTCCCAGACTTTCCACTAGAGCAGGAGAATCCGTGTGGGATGTCTGTTGATTTTCATGCCTCTTTTTACTTCATATGAGTGACAAAGGAGAGGGGGTGAATATTGAATCAAAGTAACAGGATTACACCCCTCCAAGCTGTTTAGGTGCCTAACTCCCACTTAAGTATAAGGGGGTTAGGAGGCTTTGTGCCTAATTTTACCTTTCAATGGCTTTCTTTGTTGGAAGGCATGACTCTACCTCCAGCTAGAAAAATGTTATCAAGACACCATGCTATATTTGTTAGGAAACACCCTGAACCAGATCCACAAAGGTGTCTAGGTACCTACCTGATGAATCAATGGGAAGTCAGATGCCCAAATACCCTTTTGTCTTTTTTCCATTCAGGAAATACTAAAAGAAGTTCTTAGATCCTCTAGCAAATATTTTATGACATTACAAGGTGCTAATGAGAAGTGAGAAGCAAGCTGTAATACAGCTATTTCTAATACATGAACTCTGCAGACAGGCTCATATCACATATGGCAATTAATTTCTGGCAACTGGTTTTGCTTTTTGATCCAAACAACAATGAACTAAAATCTGTTTCCATTTAATTCTTGATCAGGGTGAGAAATTCTTCTCTGGATTTTGGATCCTCCCGCAAGACTCCAAGCATGGTGCTGGTGATGGTCCTGCTGTTCATTTTCTGAACCCCTCGCATAAGCATGCACATGTGTCTATAAGGCAATCAATCATAGAGTCACTCTTAGTTTGAATATGTTGAAAACCTGCACATCTGGAAAAATGGTTTTAATTATCATGACAGCATTATAAAGGAGTGATTCTCGACCTGGGTGATGCAGCACCCCAAGTTACATTGAGAGCCTTTCAAGTATGCCATATGGTGTCACTCAATCTGAGCTCTTTTAGGTGTGCAGAAAGGATACACAAGAGATACTTAAAGGTGTCAAATAGGAATAAGGTCAAAAGACATTCTGGTCTGTTATGGTCTTTGAGTTCTTTGCATAAGAAGAACTGTTCTATGATTTTATGTTAGGGAAAAACTGAATGAAAACTAAAAGCTGACATTTTCCAAGAAGTACCCAAAGGTTCGGGACAGACATTACATATAAACTAGTTTAAGTGATCAGAAACTGGTTTAAACCTCTAAGAGAACGGATGTTCAGTGCACATAAACCAGTTTGAAAGTGGCTGAAACCAGTTTGAGATAAACCTAGTTGAATGTAGTATCAGACTTGACTGGTTTGGGTCAAACTGGTTTATGCAATGTTTGTCCCAGGCCCCTTCCTGGTTTAACTTAAACCAGATTCCCCCGGCATCCCGGCATGCTCTCTGTGCTGGGCAGGGCTCTCTGCTCCACAGCAGGGCTGGCTCCTCCCCTCTGCTTCCTGGCTGGAGCTCTGGCAGAGACTGCAGGTGTCTGCCTGGCTTCCCCCTGCTATCCCTCTGCCTTACATAGACACTTCTTAGCATTAGCTAGCATAACCACATGCTGGCTACAGTCTGTGCTGTGGCAGACCGATTCCTTCCTTCCTTGGAAAAGTTGTTTAGAAGAGCTTGAACTAATGGAGAGAGGCTTTGTTTTCTGATAGCATGAGAAACACTGTGCTATCAACTGCCTGCTGAGCTGCTGGGACAGGAGTGGGCAAAATACAGTCTGTGGGGCCCCTAAAAGATTTCAAAAATTAGTATTTATCTGTCTTTGGTTCCTGTCAAAAGTGACAGGAACCAGGGACAGTGGGACCCAAGGGAAACCCGGTGGGCTCCCGCAACAGCAGGGCCTGCCCAGCCCTGCCAGAAGCCCCAGCAGGGACCATGTGGCTGCATGGGTAAGGAAGGGGGGGGACGGGGGGGACTGCGGGCATGGAAGGAGCCTGGAAAAGAGGCCCCTCTCCCGCCCCATGGCCGGCGCTCCCTGCTGCAGCTGCTTGCAGCCTGTGCAGGGTTATCCTGAGCAGGCACAGGCAGCAACAGGCAGGCTGCAAATGGCTGCAGTGTGGGGCGCCAGCCACGAGGTGGGGGAGAGGCCAGTTTTCCCCACACTCAGCACCAACATGTAACCTGCTCCCATAGACAGCCTGGGCCCCACACCAGCTCTGGGCTCGCTCATCAGGGCTACGCCATGGCAGCAGCAGCTGCAGCACTCCTGCTTGCCGTGCCAGGCAGCGTTTGCTGCTGCTGCCTGCCCGTAACTCGTTTGCTGGGCAGCAGGTCCTTCCCTGTTGGGGAGCAGGGTGTTGGGGCTGCACTGCACTGGTGCCGGCCCTGAGACATTGATCCCAAGATGGTGACCAGGGGATGGGGCACCTGTCAAGGGGCGGGGCTACTCATGCCACAGCTTTCCAAACTGCTACTCATTCCACAGCTTTCCAAACTGGGTAAGCGGCCCTCTGCCTGAAATAATTGCCCGCCCCTGTGCTAGGAGGTGCGGGGTGGGGGACCGCCCAAGGGGTTACCATCCCAATGAGAATCAAAGGGGGCAAGAGTGCTCAAAAGCCCCCCTGGCTCAAAGGCATTCAGGAACACCTGAAAGCCAAAAAAGAGGCCTACACCCAGTGGAAGGAAGGGCTATCACCAAAGAGAAGCATGCCTCCATTGCTCAGGTTTGTAGTGCAGCTATTAGGAAAGCCAAGGCAGATATGGAACTAAGGCTAGCATCAAGGACAACAAAGAGTCCTTTTTTAAATACATAGGGAGTATGAAGAAAGCACCGGGTAATGTGGGGCCCCTGCGGGATACACTTGGCAATCTGGTGGTTGCACCAGAGGAAAACGCAGATCTTGTTAACAATTTCTTTGCCTCCATTTTTTTTTCCTGTAGGAACCGGGACTCCCCCACTGAGATTCAGGACAGACTCAGGAAAGGCTCCACCAGGCCTAGGGTCAGGGAGGACCGAGTTAGGGAACTTCTGGAGGGGCTGGACGTGTTCAAATCAGCAGGTCCAGATGCTCTCCACCCCAGGGTTCTGAGGGAATTGGCAGGGGTTATCGCGGGACCGCGGGGGGGGAGCTGCAGGTAGATCCGCATCCTGGTGAGCAAAAAGGGACAACACCAAAATATATAGGCATATAGAATTTGCTTGTATAGGCAACTATAGGCCAGTTAGTCTTTCTTCAATCCTGGGGAAGCTCTTTGAGAAGATTATCCAGGAGCACATCTGGGAAGGACCAGCAGGGGGGACAATGCTCAGGGGCAACCAGCATGGGTTCATTAGGGGCAGGTCCTGTCAGACCAACAGGATTACCTTCTACGATCAGGTCACAAAATTATTGGACGTAGGTGTCGTGGTGGATGTAGTCTTTCTGGACTTTAGGAAGCCCTTTGACACTGTAGTCCACCCCACCCCACGGTCATTAAAAAGCTAGGCGACTGTGGCATTGATGACTACACAGTCAGATGGGTTGCAAATTGGCTGAGGGGCTGCACCCAGAGAGTGGTGGTGGACGGGTTATATTCGACCTGGAGGGATGTGGGCAGTGGAGTACCCCAGGGCGCAGTCCTTGGGTCTGCGCTGTTCAGCATCTTTATTAGCTACTTGGATGAGGGAGTGAAAAGCACCCTGTTCAAATTCGCTGATGACACCAAGATTTGGGGTGAGGTGGGCACGCTAGAAGGGAGGGACAGGATACAGCTGGACCTGGACAGGATACAGGGGTGGGCAAATGAGAATAGGATGGGATTCAGTACTGACAAGTGCAGGGTACTGCACTTGGGCAGCACACCTATAGACTGGGGAACTCCCTTCTCGAAAGCACAGTGGCAGAAAGAGATCTTGGAGTCATTATCGATTCCAAGATGAACATGGGCCACCAATGTGAAGACGCAGTCAGTAAGGCCAACCGCACCTTGTCATGCATCCACAGATGCATCACAAGCACGACCAAGGAGGCGATCCTCCTCCTCTATGCGACACTGGTCAGGTCACAGTTGGAGTACTGCATCCAGTTCTGGATGCTGCACTTCAGGAGAGATGTGGACAGCATCGAGAGTGTCCA